TCTGAGCACGAATCCTCAGTCCTTCCTGGCCGGAATTTGGCCAGGGAAACTTCGCTCAGCTAAGCAGAACCATCTTGCCTGTTCTGAAGTCCTTCTCCCTAGTGATTTGTTACATCGCGCTGCTAGCGAAATAGTCAAAGCCAGCGAGTGCGAGCCCTGCGGTGTCAGAGGGTGCACGATTTACGTCGAATTCGAACCGTCTTCGGGAAGCAATTCTAGCGCAAATAACTCAAATGATAAGAAATCGCAAAAGAAAGTCATCGCTTGCTTGAGACCGGACGAATCGACGGTGTCCACATTCGAGCTCTATCTGACTCTCAAACAAGAGAACGGATGGACGGATAGGCTGCCCCAGTTTTTGAAGTGAGTATCTTTTTAAATACCACTATCCATTATTTCCATTTCCAATTATTCATGATATTAACCTTTACCTTTTCTTTATTTCCAGAAACCTAACGCGGGGCGGAACGGTCGTGATCAGCCCGGACTTCACACTGAGCAAGACACTGCTCTACCGTTCTTACCGGGACTCGTAAGTTGAAGAAACCATCCAAAAATAATAAAAACAAATTATATTACTTACATCATAAAATATAATACACACGACTGTATCAAGTGTACCTGCGTGCAGCAATTTAAGAAGCGGCACTTAATAAACTCTCGTGTCTAACATGAGGGAATCAAATTTAAAATAACATTAAAAAAAAGCTCAAATGAGTATTGAGAACTCAGATGAGAAGAGCCAGAAGCGCGAAATGAAAAAACTAATATTCATATGATAATATCTGTACGGGTGTGCCGTATTTCATCCATAAAATTCATTTCCACGCGACAACACATTCTATTTATTTATTATGAACGCAACTTTGCACATCACCATTTCTGACATTTTTCTTATAAACTTTCATATCTTTAATTTTATTTTTCCACAAAAGATGCATAGCATTTTGCGAAAATTTAATTAAAACATTTACGGCACACCCTTTCTGTAGGTTAGGATTTTTTAAAAGTGATTTTGTTCTGTGAACAAAACTCAGAATCAACGAGTTTTTGCTAAGATATCAAAAGAGTCGATTTTTTGAAAATAATATTTTCAAAAAATTTAATTGTAATAATGATGATACGTGTGGACACAACACCTTTTTTGTGATAATATTATTATAATTATTATTGACTTTTTAATAATCTCGTTAAAGAGTTTTTGTTGATATATATTAACATTATTAATATCTATACGTGTATATCATATTTTTTCGTCTTCATTTTCTCATCTTCAATTGAAGAAGATAAGTGTAATCATTTTTTTTCGGTAACAGATATGTGTTATTAATTGCTGTAGATTATTGATAAGATTTTTGAGATACGAAAGTTTTAAGAAGAGAAAATAAAAATAAAAATCGATTTATATTATTATATATATTTTATAAAATGCTAATGATAATAATGAATAAAAAAGCAAGCGTGATCTATTTAAAAATAAAAACCTCGGGACTCAACTTTTTCACTTGTCTTGAAAAGTCGAAACTTTTCACCGTTACGTTGTATTAATAATCGATTATTTTTGAAATTTGGCTATTTTCTAATATTTAAACCGTATTTTTCAAGGCAGGTGCGAAAGCATAAATTGAGTACCCGTTGGCAAAGTATTATTGTTAAGGTTAAGCGTACTAGTGATACAGCTCGAAGCGTGTTTGGCAACATAAAAATTAATAAATATTTAATTAGTTTATTAATTATTATGCACCAAACACGAAATGATACAAAAAACCACAATTTTAGTCGTTAAGCGTCGTGCGAAAGGGGGAGTATAAAAGCGTGTGAATTTTTTAAAAGTTTTCGAATGTGATTGAGAGTGAAGAATTTTGGAATTTTAAAGAAATTCATGTTTTAGCTACAGAATTACATCAGAGTACCAAAAACACGCCGAATCCTGGATTTCTTAAAATTTCAAAATAATATTTTAGCGATAACAGCAACAAATATAAAAATGCGCCCAATACAAAATTAATTCGTATTTTAAAATTTTATGTAAAGCTTTCGTTCGAAATTAGATTGTATGTTTAAAACGAAGTAGTTGAAACATTTACCATATATAAGGACCACCGATAGTTTTTCATATAGGTATAAATATTTAGGAGTTTTGAAATTGATTTGCCGGTTTATACATACAAACTAATTCCGAAAAGGGCTTCAAACTTTCGCAGTTCATGGGCATAGGTGATATAAAAGCACTGTGTTATATTAAGGGGCAAACTAGCGGTCATTTTCGATAAATTATGAGTTACAATTAAAAATCCATTTCTTAGGTCCTGCTCCACTTTAGAGGTCCTATTTGGTTATAACTTAATTCTATGTATTTTTTTTCAAAATTTTGAACATCCAAATATGAATTTGATATTTTTTGATTTCTACTTTCTCAGGAGAGTTCCAAAGGAATGGGAAAATGACCGCACCCTAAAAATATTTTTTTAATTTTTTTTAACGAAACATTTTATTTACAAATCATTGAAACAACATATTCGTAGCGATTTAGTAGACGTATTAGTGTCGAAGTAATTCTCTAATTTTTCGGTGTATGATCTAATTGTATTAACTCTGTAATGTGTATGTTCGCTTATGCATTACTATTTTAAAATCATCATAAAACATAAAATAGATTTTAACGAAGTTTTGACGAGTTCAACCATGTTTTAACGTAATTTTAATTTATTGTATAATTTTATCTACGCATATAATATATATTAATAGATGTATAGGATTTAAAACAAAAAGATCTCGATTTTATTAGTACTCTGTCTTAGATTTCAAATATTTTGCGTACAATAAATGTTATAATTTTGTATATATTTCTTTCTCTTGTAATATTTAAGTTTTTTCTCTCTAGGATTTTAAGTGATGAACGTATATATGAATATATAAAATTATATTAGAGTATAACAAGTTATACACAGACAAAAGTGTTGTGTAACTTTCAATGTCAAATTACTGTGTACTAATTTTTACAAAATATATCAAATGCATATAAGCGGTTAGAAGATATACGTGAAAACAATAAAAAAGTGACCGAAGATGATACTATCCTTTACTACGATTATTGTAAAAATAAAAAATCAGAAATTTTTGGTTTATATTGAAACTATGGATTGTGCATTTAATGCTTATCTAAAAAAGGTTTGAACAAAAATAGTGATTCTAGACTTATATAAATTTGGCTGTGTTGTGGTTTCCATCATATTTAACCTTGATTTAATTAAGCAACAGAATTAGAAGCAAACAATGCACAGTCCCTGGCTAAAATATAAACTGAGTTTTGTAAAAAATAACACTTTCAATCAGTATTCAATAATTAATAATAAAAATATATAAGTAATCGTATGTACAAGTAAGAGGAATTATCTGGTCATTTTCGGTCCAAATGAAAAAAAAATCTTTTTATCTACTTATAAGAAACAAAAAATATACATATGACAAGAAACTTTACAAAAAAAATATTAAGGAAACAATTTCTAGCGAGTTGCTGTTAGTGATCACCAACGTATTTGTGCAAAATATTTCAAAATCACCATTTTTTTTTAATATTTTGCACACTTACGAAGGAAAAACACGAATTTTGGTGTCTATAACCTTCTATAATAAAGGCTCGTTTCACATTAGATTAAACAATTTACTACATTTCGGTCTATATGCTGTATTCACCATAAAAATTAATTTCAACTTTGTCCAAATTTTATTCGGCACCAAAATTTTTTCATGTGTTTTCTTTTATCGCTGTAGATATATTTGTGAAATTATTGAAATGAAACTTTTTGGCCTGAGGAACGATGTGAATTTGATATGATTAGTTTTACAAAAATCGAAAAATATTATATATACATAACATTTATTAATAATTACTGTGTATAATGTTCTTTGTATTACTTGTGATAATAATTAATAGAAGAGAGATTTGAAAAAATATCATGTGAAAAAATTAATAAAAAACAAAAATTATATATATATTATACTTTAATCGCAATAAAAGATTACATTTTTTATATGGAAAAATTACATGTGTGTTTTATTTTATTTTAAGTATTTTTTAATTAACTCAAGCATTTTTAAATATTTTTGTTTTTCATGAAACAAAATATGTTTTATTTAAAATTCACTCACTGCAAGAATTTAAATACAAGAATTTGAACAATAATGATAAACAACTCAATTTAAAAGTATTAACAACAAAAGTGAGAATAATATTCTAACAAGGTTAGTTGCTTTGTGTAACAATTTAAATTTCAGCTAATTTTTTTATGTAAATTTTAAACCAGTTTTGTGTCGTCCTAATAGAGCCCATGACGAGTATATCCGTCAGGCTCAGAGTAAGTTGCGTTGGTAAAATATTGGTTAAAAAATATAGGTTTATTTTACAAATTTATAAAAAATATTACTATTTTTTACTTTTCTGGTTAACACAAGCATATATTACTTACTATTAAACCTGTGGTTCCCAATCAGTGGGTCGCGATTCCTCAGGAGAGCGTACAGCTGCTTTCAAAACAATATTTCCTAAAAACAATACCAAAAATGTTGAAATAATGTAAAAAATGAATGAAATAATAAATAATTATTTTTATGTATATTTTGACATAATATTTTATATTGGTTTGTAGACTGATAAATGAATTATGCTATAATAATAGTTCAGTATTCGTAAAGTTAGATTGTTAGAAAAATTATGGGAGGCGTAGTATTATTTTATCAAAAAATGGGGAGCGTGGTACGAAAAGGTTAGAAACCACTGCATATATTATCCTTCGTATTAAACCCGTGGTTCCCAATCAGTGGGAGCGCACAACCCCTCAGGAGAGCGTACAGCTGCTTTCAAAATAATATTTCAGAAAAATAAATCAAAAATGTTGAAATAATGTAAAAAAAATAATGGAATGATAAATAATTATTTTTATATATATTTTGTTGCCTGAATATCAGTTGAGTATTTATAAAATTAGATTGTTGGAAAAATTAAGGGAAATTAGATATATTCTGTTATATTTTATACTGAACACCGGTGACGTGCACTCTTAAATAAATTACATTATTATATTATTTTAAATATATTTAAAATACAAACTAGAATAAAATGTGTTAAATAAATTTAATTACATTATTAATTACATGTGCTATAAGTGTGTTCAAAAATTATTAATTGGTTATCGCATTGATTAGTTTTTAGTAAAAGAAAAAAAATCGAAATAAGCAGTTTAAATTTTATTTAAATAGCTGAATCTTAATTTTTATCGATTAAGTATATTATTTTCACATTACGGAAAGTAAAATTTACCTAAAGGTAAAATGCCACTTGCAACTACGGGGTCCGCCATCTAACTTTTTTTAAAACTCTGTTCTAAAACTTAAGAGTTTTTCTTCTTGTTTACATTATTTTTTCAAAATTATTTTTCATTATTAACCAGAAAGATTTCACTTTCAAACGAAAAAAGAAACTTAAGAAAATATTGACTGGTTTTTTTATAGCATTTTCAAAAAAAAAAAAAAAATTGGCAGACCCTTCATTTATTTTCATAACCATAGCCTCAAAATATTCAAAGCAACTTGACATTTAGGGTTTTTTCAAAAATTGTGATTTTAATTGCAAATGGTCATTGTTTTATATGCATGACGAACATACTCGTCAATGCACAAAATTCTGTCGCTTCTCCATGACGAATAT